TGTTAATCACTTGATCAATATTACTAGCATATGAATTAATAAAATAATCATGCAACACACAAAACTTGAATGAAAATTAAATCAAAACATATTGAAAACGTAGAGGTTTGAATATCTAAATCAAAAGCTCGTGGATCAAATTGGATACTCCGATGACGGTGTCCAAATAAGTCATGCTTCGAGGGATCCTCGATTCTCAAAATGAACTTGTTCGACATCATTGTGATTTTCTTTGTTAGACAATTATGGTCCGTTGGAACTCGTTGTCGGAAAAGTCACAGAAGGCGAATAGCGCAGATAGTTTCTTCGACTTTTGTTTTGGCTTTTGTTTTTTAGCTCTTAAGGTTTTTCTCTCGATGTGATAGTGTGTGTGAGTGTGTGCTAGGGTAGTAAAGTGCTACTTAGGGCTTCTTGGATTTTTACTATTCTGCAATTTGGGTTGCACAATTAGGGTTCTCAAATTGGACTTGGACAACCAAGCCTAACCTAGCGCACACCGAGGTTATATGTGGAGTTTTTTTTTACTTCTTTTTTATTTTGATGTTTTTCTTCTCATTTTTTTTAATATTTTTGTGGGATACAAATAAGATGATGACAATGGATATGGGTGTCTTAGAAATCCTATATTAATAAAATTCTAGAAAGGTTTAAGATGGATAAATGCCGAGTTGGGTAGTTTCGGTTCAAAAACGAGACAAATTGAACCTTATGCAATGTTTGAAAAATAAATTAGAACAATAGCAAATGAAAAACATTCCTTATATGTCTATTGTTAGAAGTTTCATGTTTGACTAGAAAACCATAAATGAAGTTTTCAAATACTTACAATAAATGAAAGATCACACACTCATTCACAAGAGATCAAATCATCTTGAGGTGATTTGATATTTAGATTAAGAGTTTAATGAGTCCGTTTATTTAAAAAAATCCATATTTAGCTATTTGTTCATGTTAGGTAAAGGAATAATTTCATGAAAGAGTGTAAAGCGCTCTATCATTGTTGCATCCATCATTAAAGTTAAGTTTATGGCATGCTTTTAGGCCGCCATTCATGGATTATGGTTATAGAACTTTATTTCAAGACTTAGAGTTGTTGATAGTATTGCCAAGTCACTAAAAATTTATTGTTATAACTCCATCATAGTTTTCTTTTCTAAAAGCAACAAGTATTCTAAGGATGTTAAATATATGAAAATCAAATACTTTATTGTTAAAAAAAAGTAAAAAAATAAACAAGTGCCAATTGAGCACATGGACGCCGATATTATGATTACAAATCCTTTGACAAAAGAATTGGTGCTCAAAATATTCAATGAACATGTTAGATAAACATCACTCGGACATCATTAGTGATATTGTATTGTTTTTGTACTAAGTTTACATATTTGACACTTTAAACTCAATTATGTATTTTTGATATTTCTTGTTTTTTATTCAAGTATACATAATTACCGTAGAATAATGTTGGCATGAGTAGTTTTATAATAAAGATGTTAAAGTTGGACGATAATTATCCTCCTTAAAGATCATGTTAAGTTAAAACTTAATGTTGTGGTACATGAAAGAAACTATATCAAGGAAACGACATTAATTGTCATGACTCGCATCAATATTTTAATTTAATAATAATATAACACTATAGACGATGATTGTTAGTTTTACACATTATGTTTTTTTTATTAAATCACAATGACAACATAATATGAGTCAAATGGGAGAATTTCATATGATAAATTTATCTCGAATGTAAAACCAATCGTGACCCATATGATACATAATATTTAAAATGTATCTAATTAATTAAGATACACGATATTGATTATTATACATTTACATCTAAAATATATCTAATTTATTATTATACATGTAATTAATGATGATATATGTATCTAATAGATTATGATACATGTATATATCTATTTAATTAAGATACCTATATTTAATTAATTATGATACGTATAATTAATAATGATACATATACAAGTTTTGATGTAAAACTTGAGTTAATACTACAAAATGAAGAGTCTGATCATCTCTCTATCTTTAATAAATAAATAAAACTAAAAAAAAACTAAAGGACATCAATTTCCATCATTAAGAAAGAGATTCTTCATCTATAATTTGTTTCTTGATATTCCTTTAAAAGTCTAAATATAAATCAAGTATGTTTTCCTTTTAAAATTATGTAAAAAAGCATGAAATTCTAACATTTATGGGCAAGATAAATTTATGTGTTATTGTTTCGTATAATTATAGTTGTTGATTATAATTTTCATGCACTATATGGTCGATGAAAATTTAGTTATTATCTACAATATGATATCAATATAGGATTCTTAATATTATAGCTCGAAATTTATCATTTATAGGATATTTTAATCAATCTTTTTTTTTTAATTATATTACACTAATCTCTTTTTACATAATTCTTTTTTTTATTCGTTATTTTTTCTTACCAAAAGAAACTCTTCTCTCTTTTTATTTTATTTTAATATTTTTATAGATTTATTCTAGTTGATAAATGAGTTGATTCTCAAGTTATCATCTAAGATCCAAATCTTAAAATAGATTTTAATAAATAAATAAATAAATTCATGAATGTATAAGTTTGATATGAACGACAGATTTTAGATTGGATCAATACAAAATTAAACAGTTTCAATTTATTTTATACCCTTATTGATCAAAACAAAAACAATTTTTAATTAGGTTAGGATCGATTTCATATCTTTAAACACAATTTTAAATGATTTTTCAACTAAAATAAATGACACTTGCAATTTTAATTTCATTTCGCTACTTATGTCACGTATGTTTTACACGATGCATGGTTAAAAAAATATGTTCCTCGTAAGCTTTTAAAATTTAGATGGCAGATTATGAAAAATAAAATTCTTATAAATCCTCTGGTTTTATTGTATGTTCTCTTTTTTATGGGATTGGTAAAACAAATTTAGTGTCAATACACAAAAAAACTAGTTTGAGAATGCTAGTTGATTGTCAAATATAAGAAATACACATGAAATATATTTTTGCCAACCTCAATACCTTTTCAATTGCACAGGAAAAGAATCTCTTAAACTTTTGTTGTTTTTTAGTTTTTACGGAAAAAAATATATATCTTAACTAAAAGATTAAAAAAAAAAAAAAACTCACCATTATTGGATAGAATATATAAATATTTTGTTTACTCTCTTAAGATGGAGTATTTAATATAAACTTGATTTGCTTAAAGCTAATTACAGCAAGTAATCAACTCTTAGTCACCACTTCGTTGTCATCACTTAATCCACTAAAAGTTGAAAATTAGGTTTGGAGAAAGACTAAAAACAAAATCCACAGCAATCCGATGAGGCGATTAACAAAGCAAACTCCTGATTTATTTCTTCCTTTCTCACAATAGATCTCCTCCCTTCACAGCCGCACCACCATCCTCTCATCAAAGAATCCCACAAGAAAAATGACCTAACAGTCCTTTACCCCCGACGTGGCATAATCCCACAAGTCAAGATTAAATGCATGTTTAGTAATGTGGTGTAAATGTTTTTTTTTTGACATCTACGTATCAAAACCATCCAAATACACATGGAAGGAGAATGAAAAATACGTTTTCAATGCATTTTCAATTTAAATATATTTTGAAAAATACTTTTACAAGCAGTAGAAATACATTACCGAATACACCCTAAATCACCAAAAAATAAACTCCAAGCACCCTTCATTAACAGAAAAGAATAGGTGAAGATTGGCGCGAAAGATTTCCATAGTTAGTTAGAAACCCCTAAACTATCGCAAAGCCTTATGTCATCGATTTTTTCCATTTTCGTTCCTTCTTGCTTCCTTAATTTCCTCGCATTCCTACTTCTCTAACAAAAGCCTTAAAAAGAAAAAAGAAAAACAGAGATTTATCTTAAAACAACAGCAATTCAGCTGTTAGGCTGTTTATTTTCAAGTCAAATCTCAGGTACGACACATTCTTAAAAAAATCAATGGTAATGGGTTTTCTTTGATTTTTTTATGGGGTTTTGTTTTTGGTGGTTTAATTGAATATCATGTTTTATTTTTCTGGTTGATTTTACTATAGATAGAGAGAAGTAAATTAATTAAAGGAGAATCAGCTGTTGATAATCGCCGGTGCCGCTTCCGGCGATTGGGTTTTAAGTATGGCTGGTTAATAGAGGGTTTTCAACGACAGGGAGAATTTTATTTAATGTCGTAAAAGTAAGTCGTTATTTTGTTTTTTTGTTGAATAACCATGAGCTTCTTCTTGCACGTTAATGTTTCGTTTAAGAGAAGGAAATGAGATAGGAAGAAATTATATTTAATAATTTTTTTTAAAAAAAGGTTTTGCGTTGAGTTGTTATGATTAAAGGTGTTTAAAGGTGTAGTATCAAAAACCTTAAATAGAACACAATTGGCTTTTAATTTGTATGGAAATTATCACTTTATAAGGAGTTTTGAAGATGATAAATTGGTGGTTGGCAGTTTAATTAATGTCTATAAGACAGACATGGAAGAAAAGAAAGAGGGATTCATTTGTAAATCAGTCGACTACTAGGGGTACACTTTGCCATGTTTAAACTTGAATTATACTACTTGCTTATGACTTAATTATCTGATCCCCCTCTCCGTTCAATTTGATTTGTACAATTATAAAGTTTCATAGCACATTAAATCACCTTGCTGGCTTTCAAGTTTTCTCTTCATTATTATTTGTTGATAATACTCCTTGGAGGTTGGCTAATTGGATCCTGTACGGTCACATGTCTTTCCGTTGAAGAAATTGTTCTCTTTTCCTTTGGATGCTACTTAACTTAGTTCATCATGCAAGATTTTAACTGTTTATGTGTGGTACATTGTGAGATTGAGATTCTTTGAACACATCTTACCTTCAATTCTATCATATTTTCATACATGTCATTTAATTAAACACTTTATCCTGCCGGAGTTGAAGAGTAATAGTGTACTGAAAAGCTGGATCAGATTAATGTTTTTCAGTTATGGGCTTGGAATATGGAAGCGGGAGCAGCAAGCATTCAGAATCACATCCAGAGGTTATTGATGGGAGTGGAAGCAGTGATCATGAGGATACATATCCAAGGCTTCTAGTTCGGATTGAAAGTAGTGATCATTTTCAGACAGATTCAGATAAAATTGATGGGAGTGTAAGCAGTAAAAATTCGGAATCACATTCTGAGGTTATTAATGGAAGTGATAGCAGTAAACGTACAGAACCAAAAACGGGATCTACTGTTATAGAAGGGGATCTATACATTCCAACTATAAAGTTAGGCTCTTCCTCTTTCTCTTCTTCCTCTTCTTCTTCTCCGAGTTCTTCTTCTAGCTCATCATTATATGATCTCTTCGACGCGATCGTAAAAGAAAGCACTGATTTTGAATCTTCAAACAAATCTCATGAGGTTACTCAATCAGCGTCAGAAGATCACGACAATGGTATTTCCGTTGACAATTCTAACATATCAGAAGAAAAGGAGGATGGCTCTCCTGATCACACATTAACACACCCAGTTTCTGATGTCACTCATGAATCCCTGGTGCGCAACATTTCTCCAACACAATCCCCTCCCCTCCAAGCCATGGAACGACCAGGTGGATATGATCCTTTTAGGATTCCATCATCGATCTTTGAAAAAAATAAAGGCACAACACCAATGGATTGGAGTGTTGCTTCCAATGAATCATTGTTTAGCATTCATGTAGGAAACAATAGTTTCTCCAGAGACCATGTTTTATTGATGGGTGATCTGGGCAAATCTGGAGATATTACAAAGTCAGGTGAATTGATCATGTTCAGCCCACCCCTCCAAGTGCAATGGTGGCCGCTGATAATCAGTCTTTAGTTCCTGACGTGGAAAACTACAAACAGAAGGGTGAAGCAAATGGAATAGCAGATAATACCATCAAGGGTCCAGCAGAATATCAAAATAAGGAAAATAAACCAAATCAAGCTGTATCCTGGAAATCTGCTAGCAACCATTCATATGGAAGTGGAGACAGTGCCAAGTCGTTTTCTTTTCCAATGTAAGCTGTTGTCTTTCTCTATCTGTGAACGCTTAAATATTAGAATTCATGCGCACTCAACTTTTACATATCGCTTCTATTGTGCTTAAACTGGTGGATGCTCATTATTCATGCACAACATAAATATTCATGCAGGGGTTAATCTTTGTCCATAGCATGTCTGCATTTACGGTCACATTGCACAGAGTGAATACATGGATGTTTATATGCCTGTGGACATGTTGTGTGATTTCAGTCTGGAAAGAAATGCCTCTGGACTTGGTATGCTTGTATTTTATGCATGTAAACCAGATGTCTAGATTTACTCTGCAGGTATATGCACATGTGTGCCTAATTAAATAGGATCCACGAGCCTAGTGCTTTGTCAATGAGGAATATAACTTTGTGTTGCAGAAAAAAGAAGAAATATGCATGGCCATTGTGCTACTGTTCTAATTGTAGCCGGGCGCTCTACTACTGTAAACGGCCAAGCTGCTCCTATTCTTATTGTAGCTGGGCGTTCTGCTACTATTGGAACTGTGGCCGAAAAGGATGGTGATGTCATAGATATTCTGTGTATGCTTCTCTCTTTGTCTCTCCTTAATTGATAACAATCAAGAAAACAGTAAACTGTGTTCTGTTAATTTTATTTTTCAACAGCCATGATTAATACCAATGGTGTACTTATGTTTACATGTGATTCACAATTACTGCCATGTCTTTTGTACTATGAAACGAGATTTATATTAGCACTTTTTAATCTCATGGTCCAAATTTCTTGGAGTTATGCAGTCTGGCAAATGGGATGAGAAGTAGTTCCCTGAAAGGAGGTGTCAAGCAGCAGCAGCAGCAGCAGCAGCATCTGCAGTCACCGCCTGCCCTTGTGAGTCAAGAATCAGCTTCCTACCATTGGTTTCGTTGCTTTTCATGCTGCTCCTGGGGTTGTTCTTTCAGTAGTAGTTGTCACTGTCGAAAAATTAAGTGGTGTTGTTAAAACTCCCCTTATTCATCTAATGGAAGAGTGCTTCTCGGCTCCTAAGCCGCCTCCTGTTTAAAATACAAGCCTGAGCTGTCCTTAATTAAGGTTCTTGTAATTAAGTTAAAATTGGGACGTCGACAATGGTTGATATATAATCATTATGAGGCTTTTCGAAAATGCAAATGTCGTCCATGTGCATTGTTCTTGGTGTTGCTACATGGAAACTGGTTCTTTGCAAGAGGCAGGAAAAGAGGATAGAGCCGGGGGTTGAACCTCTGAACCTCGACCTGTATGATGTTAGGTGGAAAATGTTCGGTAATTTCTCCTTGTTACGGAGCTAGCCAATTTATAACTAACTAGTCTTTTATTGCGTCTTTATTGCTGTAAAACAATGGTTTTGCCGTTTATATATTTACCGTATTTTTTGAATTGTTTTAGTTGAAATCTTGTATTTTTTTTTCATATTAACTAAGTCTTTCTACTCTTTATTTTGTTATAGTCTTTCATTATAACGCCATTAGTTTGTGAGTTAACGTTACATGTTTATTCTTTAATGCACGATACATGTCATATGTGTAATTTCAAGAAAATACGCAATCAAAACTTTTTAAAGAGTATCAATCAAAACAATTCAAAAATTATCAAAATGAAAATTATTATTTTTTTCTTTTGTAATTTTCATATTATTGTTTTTCAAAAAACTCATCTTGAATGTCAAGTGAAACTGTGAAGAGTTTTTTTTTATAATAATTATAATAATTTAAAAATTATATATATATCGAAACTAATATGCAATTAAAACAAAAAATTGAATACAAATATATTCATCAGAATTAAAATAAAAACAAGAGGAATGCATTAATAACTAATTATATATGGAAAAAAAAAGGTGCAATCCATTAGCTTGTGAGTTAAGGTTACATGTTTATTTTGTAATGCACAATACATGTCATATGTGTAATTTCAAGAAAATACTTAATCAAAACTTTTTAAAGAGTATTAATCAAAACAATTCAAATATTATAAAAACGAAATTATTATTTTTTCTTTTGTAATTTTCATATTATTGTTTTTTAAAAACTCATTTGAATGTCAAGTGAAACTGTGAAGAGGTTTTTTTTTTAATAATTATAATAATTTAAAAACTATATATATCGAAACTAATATGCAATTAAAACAAAAAATTGAATACAAATATATTCATCGAATTAAAATGAAAACAATAGTAATGCATTAATAACTAATTATCTATTAAAAAAAGAAAAAAAAGGTGCAATCTCTAGTTATTTTTTTAAAGGAAAAAATCCTAGTTTTGCCTTTGAATTGGTCAAACGTTCAAAAATTTCTTATTATTTGTGGAGGATTAGATTTATTAACTAAGGGCATGTGGTTTCTTTAAGGAAACAATCCTATTTTTGCCTTTGAATTGGTTAGATGTTCAAAATTTTCTTATTATTTGTTAACGATCAAATCTATTAACTAAGGGCATGTGGTTGATTGATCTTACACATCATCATATTTTTTTCTTTTATATAGATGCTTAGCTATTAATCAATATTATTGTTGTTTTTATTTTAATTTTAACAAATATATTAGTACTTTAAAAAAATTACATGTTATGTTCATTTTATATGCAATTTGTTATTTTTAAGTGTATATATATATATATATATATATATATATATATATACACTCTTTATAATTTTATTGTGTGGCATTTAAGATGAGGCCTTAAAAAAATAACATGGAAATTAAAAGAAAAAAATAATAATTTGGACCGTGTACCTTTTGAATTGTTTTGATTAAAACCTTGTATTTTAAAAAAAAAAATTGATTGAGTTTCTTTATTGAAATTCTATGGATGACATGTATCATGCATTCGGGAATTAATATATCACGTTAGGTAACAAACTAACTATAATAAACTGAAAAAAAAAAGGGTTGGGTATAAAAAGAGGGTACAATTGTTACCCTTCCACTTTTTCTTCTTCTTTCTCTCCCTCTCTCACGCCACTTTCTCTCTCAAAACTTTTCCCAACTTTCTCTTCAATTCTTAAGCAAATCCATTGTTCAATTAGCTTAGAAAGACCATAAGTAAGAGGATTCAAGTGAAGTTTAGCTAGCCTAGAGCTTGGGAAGCTTGAAAAACTAGGAAGAATTTGATATTTGAAGAGCATAGTGTAAAGGTAAGATTTATGGTCAATTGATATTTGAATTGTGATGCTTGTAAGTAGTTAATGATGACATTAAATTGGAGTTACTTTGGATTGTAAATTGCTTGAAGAATTGCCTAGATTAAGGTTAGGGTTTTTGAGATCCATTTAGAGAAAAGTGATTCTAGGTGATTGTAATGACTTGAATAATGTTTAATTGTCTTGGGTAAGTGAATTAAGAAGTTAATTAGAAGTAAAATTGAGTGAATTTGAGAAATTGAGAGGTTGAAGATGATAAATAGTGATAAATTAGAAAATTAGAGAAAATGAGGAATTCAGATCATAAAAGTATAATTAGAGTTAAATGGAATGAGTATTTGGTGAATTAAAATAGAATTGATCATTTAATCGAATTAAGGGTTAATTGATTGAAGGTTGATTGTCTAAGGAATAGATTGAAGATTAGTAAAGGAATGTAATTAGGTGATTGTTTAGAACCAATTGAAGGATTATAGAATTTAGTCGGGTTTTTGATTCGAGTCTTCCCAATCAATATTATTTTTATTCGATAATCTTGTATTGTAATTCTAGAATAGTTCATTCTTGGGATTATTCCTTGGTGTATGGTATTGATGGATGATCCATTATTTTGTGATACTAGATTCTTTAGAATGGGCGACTCTATCCCAATTGTCTTAATTTCATTCGATTCTTCAAATTATAATGCGAGCGGATATTATATAGTGCATTGTATTTTAAATTCCTTTAAATCATATCTATCATGTATCATTGATTTAAGTATAATTTAGAAGCATTCTATTATAACCTAAATAGGAACGAGACACCATGAATTTTAAAATGTTTTCATATCAAAATGATTTGATATGAATTGAAAAGATATTTGAATGTGTTGAACAAATGTGTTACTATATTTGATATGTGTTTTCAAAATTTGAACATGAACGTGTTATATTTGTTATATTGAATATCCATATAATTTTTGAAAATGCATTCATATTATTTGAAAATTGGTTTGAAAAATGTATAAGTATATTTATTTTTCAAAAATGTTTTCGAGACCACTAGGGAATCTAACTACTAGGGGTTGACCTTTGAGTTCAATGATCCGAGGCTCAAGCTAGCGGGAGAGGTATAGTGCTAGCTCATGTGTGAGCTAACATATGAAAACCTAATCACGAGGGGCATGACCTTTGGGTGTTCGCACTCAATGATATGTTATTACCTAACGAGTGTATAAAAACCTATATATGAGATTTCGATGAATGTAGTATATGAATGATAAGTGTTTCAATGATTTGATACGAAAAGATTTTGAAACATTTGATTTGTGATAGAAGACATGTTTTTTATGTGCATGTGTTTTGAGAAACTTGCATAGCATTTTGAGATGAATTTAAAATTATCATCCTTAGTCCGTTTTTCTCTCTTGGAATATTATATAATGTCTACTCACCGAGTCGTTGATTGTTCACCCCTCATTATTTTAGTTTGTAGGCTATTGAAGGATTGCCTACCGCTTTCGGTTAGTTGCCTTTCGTGAAGTCGACACTTTGTTCATGTGACTTATCTCCTTATAATTCTTAGAACTAATATATGTTATGATTTATTATATTTTTAGAAGCTCGCAATTATAACCACGGATAGTGTATTGAAATCGATCATAAATATTGATCTTAGTTATTGAAATGAGAATAGTATGGACTTATGAATGGTATTAAGGTTGAAGAAATGTTTATTAAGCTATGATAATGTTAATTGAAATGACAGGTGATAATGATTTGAAGATTTTAGTTTAGTATTCGAGGCTTGCTTGAGTCATGGTGGGCCTCGTGGTTCCTTCGATCCTCGTGCCAATCGTGGCCCACTTTTAAGGTTGAGATAAGTGTTGGTATCGAGCATAGATTATAGAGTCTAGGATAAATGCAGAGTATATGTTCTACTTTAATCCATGTTTTTCTATCTTGAATCACATGGATCAATCAATTGGTATGTGTTTTGGTTTCTATGTTTATAGTCTTACATTACGTGTGAGAAGTAAGATTTTATCGTGTGAAAATCCCTCGTATGGCTTGCTCAAATTGACGCACGGTAGTGTCAATTTTCCCCTCAAACCATGTCTTTAGGCTACGCCCTTATGGCATTTCTTTCTTCTTTGAATAGTTTTATGGTGGCACACGACCATGTCACTTTTGCCTTTACACCGTGTTAATTGCTTTTACTTGTGTGGCTTTTCTTTTATTATTAGATTACGGTTTTATTGGCTAGACATGAGTATGTTTAATTTCTTTCAAGAATCATGTTGATTCTTTCATCCAACTCTCTCATCTTGTTAAATACACGCACAAACTTGTTAATTTTTCAAAGCAAATCGTGTTGACCTTCTCGCTCGTGTCTCCCATTTTTACCAATACATATACGAACGTGTTAATTCTTCAAACAAATCATGATTGAACCCTTCGTTTGTGTCTCTCTTTGTGCTAGAACACATATGGGCATGTCACATTCTTGTATAAGCTATATCTACCTCTTTCTCGCCTATGTGACTTTTTGAGCCAAAATGCACACGGACGTGTTAGTTTATTCTTCAAACCGAGTGTACCCTTTTTGCTCATGTGCTTTTATCTTTTAACTTAATTTTTCATGCTTGTTTCATTTTATTCTTTGTACTATTGGATTTACATGTGTCTTGGCTTAAGTTTACTTATGTTGATTTGTTATCTCCTTCTTGTAAATCCAAGATCATTATCTCATTTAAGTAGATGCAAGCCTAATAAAACAAGGGATAAGATTTACATGAATTAGACATTAAATATATTACCTTTTAAATTATTTCTTTTAAATTATACTAAGTTGAGATTATCTTTTGTAGACACTACTATGGTAAGAACTAGATCGGGTGATC